TGCTTCCCACGAGCATTCAGATCTATTAGTCCCCACGGAAGGCGTGGTGCGGTGACCAGTTTCATACGCTTGGTAGGCTTCTGCTCCATGCAATGATCACATCGCTCAACCCAGGACCTAGCATCGCGAAGGAGAGAGGGCCACCAAACGAAAGGGACAAGGCTATCCCGCATGTCCCTGTGAGGTCTATGATAATCCATTTCATGGGCAACAAAAAGGAGCCAATCTCGCAGCTTCCAGTCTGTGTCGACATTAGTGCCGATCATGCCATTCAAACCGGTAACTACGCCTCCTGGAATGACTGGAACCGATATCGGTCCAGTCAACGCAGCTTCAGAGATAGTCATGACCACCCCTCCAACATGGGTGACAAGGCCGAGAGATTTCGCCTCCGCGGCTAATTTCTGAAGTTTCCCAGCTCCGTCAAAGTGATGTTGCCATGCCTGTAGCGTAGCACCATGGAGGAGGGTAGAGGAGTCTGCCTTCTGAAGAGTTATCAACTGAACTCTCAGGTCACCCGCCAGAATGCATCTGGTGGAGTCGTGGACAGAGGCAGAACGATCCGTGGTAGGTAGTTCACTTTGGGAGGGTGATGTCGAGGTCACCAAGACAAACGCTTCGCCACCACCCTCAGGGACATACCGCTGTCCCCCTTGAGCAAGACGACTCAGGAGATCGCTGAAAGAGTTATCCTTCCCTTTCGCATGGCGGTAGGTTAGATCAGCCTCATCGTACTCCAGCAGGTCTGCCAGCCATGAGAGCCACCGTTTAGTCTGTCGAGTAGTAGGCTGGTAGGTAGAGGAGTTGAGACGACCCTCGATCTTGCCCAGAGCACTAGTGGAGTCCATGAAAACTGTGACCCGTCCGAGACCATGGTGTTTGTCCGAGGAGTGGAGCTTATGGAAGTTGAGGAAGGAAAGGATGAGTTGACGCCAGTGAGACAGAGCGTGACATATGGCATATAACTCACGATCGGCGATGTCGTAGGCCTTCTCGTATGTGGACCATTTGTGGGTCCATACACCGATGAGTTGGGCATTATCAGCCAACCAGTCGGCTGATATTTGATCCGCGTTACACGCGAACTTGTCTCTCGACAGACGCCATAGACAGGCTGCACCGGCCTCAGGCGACGCGTCACTCATGAGGACGAGTTGCATTCCATCCCAGTTATCAAGCTGGGAATGAAAGGGCACGAATGCATCACCCATATTGTCGCCGATGGCCTTCCATGCCTTCTCGAGGTCCGCCGTCCAATGTAGACTCGCAGTCTTTTTGGACTTGGCCGCGACCATCGAGCCGACTAAAGAGGTGAACGGT